CCACGTAGACCGTCATATGGATTGGGTAATACACCTGTAGCATGATAGCAGGATGAAAGTGTAGGCTTGGCTCACGCAGAACATTGCACATTATAGACAATTTGTTCTGAGCAGCAACATACAGAAAGTGTCTCAAGGACTTCTTAGATTGGGTGTAGACTGTAATGTTGGTCATCATTTGTGTATATTGTATATACTGAATGTATTTGGTTGTGATTCCAAAACAGTCGTTCGTTGGAATGTGAAAGGGTGTCACAGCTTGCCCACTGAAACGGTTTTATGAACAAAGACTCAACAAAGTCTTACAGTGCCTAAATTTATAAAGATTCTCCTGGTGTGACTGGTGCTACAAACACCATCTACAACCATCAGGAATGCAGCTTGATCAAAATATTCTGGCTGATCAATGGATTCTGGCTCTATTCTTTGAAAAAAAATTCGGGTAAAAAGTACAACATGAAATGGTTGAGATTCCAACAAAAGTGAAAATCTATTCGCAGCAGCAGTAGACTCATTTATGGGTACAATTGGAAGTGCAAAACAAACATGTAGATATATGATCACCTAGAAAACACATTTTCAGTCTGAACACGTTTGTTATGAAAGCTGTTTTCTCTTGGTTGTTTTAAAAAGAAAAATCCGATTTTGTGAGCTCACTGGACTTATACAGTGTAACATATCTAGGTTACGCATACACACATTTTCTTTTTTCTTTTTTAGTTGCCTGCAACAGTCACCAGTAATCTGCCACCCGCCTTCAGTGACTTGGCATTTCCCAGCTTGTGCTTTTGGCAGGGGATAAACTGAGAGCTTTGAGAATTATGTCCCATGGTGAGTCAAGTGATTCAAAAGGGACATTAACTCCCAATTTCGGACTTCATCTCTCTGCCAGAAGAAAGACACAAACATGACAGAAAATGTCTCAGGCTCAAATAGTGGAAAATTGAAAGTGGTCTGGAGTTTAGTGTGGTCGGCAGATATTTCGGCGAAGCAAAAGTGATGGCTGTGATTGAGACTGTTCTTTTGAAGTAAAGCTACGAAGGCTGTCAGACCTAAATAGATTGTCTAAATTTTGAAGAAAGAAACTATCTTATTTGGATTTTTCTTTTTCTTTTTTTTGCTTTATTGAGATTGTGAAGGCAGACAGACGTGGCTTTTTCTTAGCCTTTGTGGCTTAATATTTCTTTATATTTACTTTTTTCAGTATTGAATACGAACTTTGGATGCAGTAAACCACTATTGCTGAAATCCTGACTGCCTACATGTACTTTATTCAGTTCAGTCAGTAAATCGTTGAAAATGAGGCAGTCTGGCAGCTTATTGAAATTGACTGTCAACAAAATATGTGCTTTGCGGTACGACGTAGATATATACAGCCTGCCATACGGTGCTTCCACACTTCCAGCAGGCCATAAGGTGGTACTTTCCACATTTCAGAATTTTCTCTTCACCTCAGCCACTCCATTACCATGAATGATACCGAGTGACTCCACAGCTGTCTGACTCTTTCTTCTATGTCTATATGTGACTCTTTCTTATTTTAACTCTTGGTGATGTATAGACAGACAACGATAAAGGTTAACTGGAGCTATGTTACATTTTTACTGGTTATGGATTAAGTGGTGCGATGGCTCCAATGGAGACTTGTTACAACTCATAGCAGCAACTACAATTAGAAGGGGGTCCTGTTATGGCTGTGGCTTAGGAGGTATAGCAGCTCATCTGCTAATCTTACTGACTGCTCCAGTGTGCAAGTATCCTTGGGCAAGCTATTGAACCCCAAATTGCTTTCTGGTGCACCCAGTGGAGTGTGAATGCTAGATAGAAATGACTTAGATGTAGAGAAAAGGTAAATGGGGAAATGAGGCACTTTGTATAAACTGTATAAAGTGCTCAAGTAAAGTAGAAAAGCACTATGTAAGACCTTTTCCATTTATTGCTAAACTTTGTCTGATTTTCTGGGGGGGGGTTCTCTTCACACTTGGCTGTGCATAATGCCACTGAGAGTGGATATTATTCACATGGTCATGTCAGGGAAACAGCTCTGACTTTGAGTGGAGAAGCCTCGCCCACCTTCTGCTCAAATGTTTTATTTGCAGGAGGGAAGGCACTCTGAGGAAAGTTGATGAGAAGGGTAGGGAGCTAAAATGTTTCAGCCAAAGGATGAGGGACTGGATAAAGTCACACAGTTCATGAAATAACTAAGGATCGCTTTGAATCGAATCATAAAAAGCTACTCTACTAGAGTTTAGTAGCTGTGTTAAGTTCAACTACTTTCTCAGAATACATCTGTGTAGAGAATGGATGATTGGTGCTGTACAAATGAAGGCCTCGGGTTATAATTAACCTCTTTCCATCATGCCATATACAACTAAAACTACATTACATGTAGCATGCATAGCAAGTAGTTTTGTACATGACAGAATAGCCTGAAGTTGGCTACACTGCTGAAGATGAGTTGCCTGCAGCTCTTCATATGCTTACCCTTGCCCTTTTGTATCACATATTTCCTGCAATACTTGTAGCTAATCATTAAAAAAAACATGTCCTAGTGACTGTTTAAGGATTCTTTTTATTTTCCTATACATTTTTGCCAGTCTCAGTGGTAATCTCATGTGACTGTTTCACAGTAAAAGTGTTCTGAATGTACCCCACTGAAAACTTCTACTGTAAAATGTAAACTGTAGGAAGCTGCAGGAATTTTTTCAGTATGCACTTGCAGAATGTAGTTCTGATAATGCTACCGATGCCGAGTTTTTTTAGAGTATTTTTTTAGCCTTGAGCAAATGGCTCAGCGCAGATTCAGACCCAGGCCATCGCAATAGCTTTAAAGCATATGAGTTGTCTGCTGAATCTGGTGAACTAAACTGGTGCCCAAAGGGCTACAGTTACCAAAGACGGAAGAAACATACTAAAAAATTCACACTTTTGGATACTAAATTCCTGCAATTATTCACTGATAAAGTGTTTTGTGCGCTTGACTACAAAACTTTACCCGTTTTCATGAAATCCTGGCGAGAGACATGCACCATTGATCACACTTTACCCTATGCTAACTAGTGTATGTCCTGTGACAATCAGCAGCCAAACTGCTAATACACCCAGAAGCACATCACTGTTCTAATTGGCATTGCTGTTCTCCAGTGTGTGAAACTCCTAGTGTTGATCGCTGCTGAGCTGTTGATAGGAAAAGGTGAGGGAAGCCAAAAACAGCAAGGTTGGAGGTTTGGAAACGGCTGGGTTGAGGAAAAAAAAAAGGTATGATCACATAACCTCTACATTCTGTATTGCGGCAACATCTTGCCCTGCAGGTGGGAAATCAAACACTTATGGTATAAATAGCCTTGAGATACTGCACCACTTTTACCCCAGCATGGAAAAAACAAAATATGTGTTCATGTCACAACATATATTTAACAAAATCAATGAATGTTAATCTACCCACTATGTTAGGTTTTTATTTTATTTTAAGTTTTATTTTATTTTTTTCACAAGAAGCTGTCGTAGCCACGATTTGCTAACATTGTGCTAAATATCTCACCTTCCTTTTGTCAAGGGAATGTAGATGAGCTGACACTGGCTTATTATAAGGAGCTAACACTAATAAAGCTGCATGAATTAAGAGTACTAATGATCTTTTGACACAAACACATTGGGGCGATCGTGGCTCAAGAGTTGGGAGTTCGCCTTGTAATCAGAAGGTTGCTAGTTCGATCCCCGGCTTGGACAGTCTCAGTCGTTGTGTCCTTGGTCAAGACACTTGCCTACTGGTGGTGGTCAGAGGTGGCGCCAGCGCCAGTGTCCGGCAGTCTCGCCTCTGTCAGTGCGCCCCAGAGTGGCTGTGGCTACAATGTAGCTTGCCATCACCAGTGTGTGAATGTGTGTGAATGGGTGGATGACTGGATATGTAAAGCGCTTTGGGGTCCTTAGGGACTAGTAAAGTGCTATATAAATACCAAAAATACCAACAATACCAAAAAGTTATATTTGGGGTATATGACTTATCTGCTTTTCATTTTCATTTTGATGAGTCCTCAGCATACCACCTCCTCCATTACAGAAGTGTTGTTGTGTAGTATATGGTCCTAAAAGAAAGCAAAATTGTTACTACTTTCAGTAAACTCTGTGGGCTAACATCCAGGAAAGTTCAAAGGTGCGTCAGTTTGGATACTTAGTAAGTAGTGCTGGTGTACTGCCACTGCTTTCGGTAGGGTAGTGAACAATTATAACTAGGCAGGCCTTTGTCCACATCTAATTTTAAAGTCTTAGTTTTTCCTGTTAGGCAGCTAGCTAGCGTTAGCGTCGCTATCAATGCTGATGTTTGTTGTTTTAAAATTTGACTGATACTTCATTGCCCGCTAAAAAAATTAACTGGAACCATTGCTACATGTAGCCACCCACACTTGTCTATGTGAACTGAAGTATGAAGTCATAACTGCAAGTCTAAGTATAGAAGTATGAGATTTGAGACAGAACACAATAAAGAAGAAATCAGCTTTCTACTCATATTGGCTCCTGTTGTGAGAAAGAGGAAGGAGAAGCTGTCAAATTATTCTCTGACATCCTCAAAGAGGCCCATTGCAGCCCACTGGCATCTGTAAGCCCACCTTACTGGAAGGAATAAATGGTGCCGAATGACACTGAGGATGTTTGCTTTGATAATGCCAAAGCCTGTTTGTGTCTGTGTCAGGAGTCGGGCGGTTAATCCAGCCTACATTCCAGGTCCTGATATCAATGCCGTGTTTGAGAACCGTTGGGCTAGACTGGCTGTCATGCTTGAGGAGAGCAGCCGTTGCTTTACGCTGTCTGCTTTCTATGAAAGGAAGGGGGTGTATGGGAAGGAGCAGGGACACATATTCTGTCTTATTTACTTTTCTATTCAGTTGCGTTGAATCAGTACCTCGTTCCAGGCCAGCACAAAAAAAGAAACCTTTCTGTATCTGTGTTGTTATCAAATCATAATTGTTTTTTTCTTCTTCTTTTTTCTGTTTCTTTTGCAGAATTTATGAGCGGGTGATAGACCCTCCCCAGATGGAACTCACCCCAGGCAGTGGAGTGTGGCTTGGCCAGCATAGCCACAGACATGGTCTGTTTAAGGTAAGACTCCACAGATAATATGCACACTTTATGCACCTTAGCGTGTTTCACATTCAACATTGCCAGGTGTAATTGGGCAGATTTACAGTAGGTTGTGTGGGGGAAGAACGCCAGCTGTAAGATGCAAGAGTAAAGTATGGAGGGCTCACAGAGGAGCTGCAAAAAGCGCAGCTTGAGCTTTTTCTCCCTTGTTTCCAAGCCCATCACAATGATGTCGATTTTTAATCTGTGCTTGTTTTCTCCAGCTTCTGCATGCATTCGCAGCAGGGAGCAAACATGGCAGGGAATCACGAGGACATGCACATTCCCTTGATATTCCTACCTCTACTGCCCACCCGTCATGCAATCAATGGGACTTTTTTGTCTTTGTAACACTGATTAGCCAATAGGCCCTTTTGTGGTGTGATTTATGTCTCCTCTTCATGCTTTGACACTATCGCTGCTGCACATGAGCACCATTCCTTCTCCGTTTACCTCCTCCTTCATCCCTTCTTGCATCAACACTTCAAGGAACTCCTTCTTTTAGTCAAAGACTCTGGTCGTGAAAGACAGAGCCCCACCAGGCAGTTCCCTACCTGCAGTCAGCTCAGTGCCTTCCATGTGCAGGGAGCACTAAAAAGTGTTTGTCAGCAGCCAAGACAGACAGTGTGGAAGAGCGAAAGCTTGTGTGAAGAGACTGAGGCAATGAGGAAGTTCTCCCTTCAGATTGACGCAAAGTTAAGATGAGAGATCGTGTCTGACAAGTGCAGTAGCTCATTGTATCAGTGACCTGCTGCTTTGTGCATGATAAAGGTTATTTAGAGCTGCGCGTTTCCCCTCCTGTTCACATCATTAGCTGTTACAGGAAAAGTGACGTCCAGATGTCTGAGACCTCCAGATTCACCTTTTCTTGAAAATGTAGTGCTGTTATTTTTTACATTGCAGTTGATAATATTAGATGAACAATTCAAAACCCTGTTTTCTTTTTTGATTGCATGGAATTCATTCATACTGGTACAACTTTTTTTTTTTATTCATGTTGTTCCAAAGAGCTTCTTATGAAGTCAAGAATCCTTAGCTTCCTGTGCTGCTCTCTTTGAACACTTCAGTGTAGCCACAATTTCACGCTTAGAAAACCCCTCTCGACTAATGACACTTCCCCTGAATTCTTTTGCTATCTTTCCCACTATCACAGTGCTACTTAGTATGCAGCGTTTTAGCTGGAAACTTGAGGTGCAGCCATATTTTTAGCAGATGAACAATAGCTACAAGTTTATGTAGTTTTGTACAAGCCGGGTAGGTCAAATCCATGTCAACGGAAGGCAATTCCTGTGAGGGATCCAGCTCAAAAGTGTCCTTTAGTCTGAGAGAATTAACACGGTCATTGCTGCAAATGCGTTTTGCGGTTTTGAAATAATGCAGAGATGCGTTCTTTATTTTACTTCCAGGCTTACATAGAAATGTAGGAGAATTTGGATCCGGTCTGTTAGACGCACTTGTATATTTGTCCCTGCCTGCATGCATACAGGTCACATGTTGCTCATAAAGCAACCTCTGAAATCGTAACAATGGTTTGTGTTCCAATTAGCATCCAAGGTCCTGCTAAAAGAGGCGAGTTACCTACTTACATTTAAACCCACATTGTCTACTTGTCCTTTTCTTTTTAATTATTGTTCCTTTGATTGTGTTGTTGGAAAAGAAAATGTGGTTAAATATACCAGTTGTAAGCTGTTGTTTTTGTATTCCCCAGTCTTTAATATTTATATACCTGTATTTAAAGCACAGGGACACAGCATGCCTCCAACGATACACCATTGGTACCTCTAAGTCATTAGTTTAATCTGTGCACAAAGAGAATGTAGAAAGTTTAAAAATGTGGCATTGTCCAACTTCTTTGCTATTTTCCTCACACACTCCCTATTGCTCCTTCCTTTAACCTGCTAAAGACGATGGGATAAACTTAGGTCTCCTCATGTCTAAAGCTGAGAAGGGCTTGTTGGGAAACGGGAGCGGAAAAAAAATAAATAAAGAGGCAAGAGGTGAAGGGAAGAGAAAAATAGCCAAGAGCTAGAGAAGTAACACTGCAGATAGAAATAGGGGGTGAAATAAAGCAGCAAGCTGTAATATATCGCATTCAGTGTGCAGGAATGGGATAATGATAAGAAGGGCTAACTAGGCCTTTAAATAAAGCATATTGAGCCCTTGCAGTAGCTTGGGATGCTCTTCATCCTCTCAACACTCCTCCTCCAGGGAACCTCTCCATCTGAGGGAGCAACTGTAATAAATTATCTTTATCTAGAATCCATTGTGCCAAGGATGCTGACTCCTCAGGGATGCCGCAAGCTCGTTTGGAACCGCTGCTTTTGTGAAACGCTCTATGTTTCATGCACTACAGGACAATAATGAATCTAGTATGGACAATGATGGAAAGCCTGAATGCATTACATAAGGCAGTGTGAAGTTTCAGGAGTCGACGTCTCCTTTACCTTACCTGCGTCTCACTTTGTCCTCTGTTGCCCGGTTGTTTAAATTACTTTCTTTATCTTTTCTTCACGCACCTCATCTTTTTCAGTGCATCACTCAAACATTACCATTTTATCCTTTGATATGTTCGCTCTCTTCAACCCAGTATCAGTGGTAATACAGTAATAATACAATACAGGCTGAGGTTAATTCAGCCTACTTTATAAAGTAAAATGGAAAAGAAACTCTTGGGATGAATGGGAAATTTGCATATTTTGGAAAAAATTTGAATTTTTTGAAGAGCTGAACTTTAAAAAATCCTCTATGTTTTCCTTGTAGTTGCTCTGCATTCCCTTGTTCATAGTTTAAGAGTAGGGTTTAGGGCCTACAGATTTTTATATCAGTGTATGAATCATTTGTATTTTTTCGAAAGTACTAGTTGCTGGACAGATAAATAAGACTCTGCCATTATTCATTTCTTTACCATAAGCGCATAAAATAAATTCTCAACTCTTAAAACACGATTCTATGTGCTTAAATTTAGGTTAACATCCTTGTTATGTCACAGAGTGTGTATATCAGGAGGGCTCCCATTAGGTTCTAGTGCAAAATAATTTTCCATGCAATTGGACGACTTTTACAGCTAAGTAAACTTTTCAAACATCATTGTTTGAAACTGAAGCTGAAGAAATTGTGTGTGCTCACAGCATAAGAGGTTCATGTGTGTGTCTGTGGGTTGTCGGGGTTTTTTGCTCAAAAACAGAACAATCCACTGTTTACTTACCTATGTGTGGCATTACAGCAGGGTGTAATGAGCTGTCTCTCAAGTCTGCATATGGGGGTCAAAGTTTTTACTGTTCCTTTATGCCCTTTTGATAGGTCGATACAAACACAGTTAATAACATTTGATGACCTTCAGACCTCGCTAGAACACGGAAATGTCATGTTGTGCATGATCAAATGGAGGAAAAAGTACTGCTGAATAAAATCTCTTCCAGGATAATAAATGTCTGTCAGTGCTGCCTGCAGGCAAAGCTTTGGCCAACCTGGCCTTTAGGGCGTCACTGAGTGAAATAAGTATTTGATACTCTATAACCCAGCTAGAATTTTGGCTCCCACAGATTGTTTGACTGACTGATTGTAATCTCAATCAATGACAGTCAATTGCAGATACTCTAGATCTCAACTCCTATATAAAGCACACATGTCTACAGGAGGACTATGAAAGGTAGTCAGGGACAAGATTGTAGAGCTACACCAGGCTGGAATGGCTACAAGACCATCAGCAAGAAGCTTGGGGAGAAAGTGACAGCTGTCAGAGCGATTACCCAGGGATGCAAGAAATGGCCACCGATTGCCCTCAGTCTACAGCTCCATGAAAGATTTTGCATTACAATACGGGACGAAACTATACAGGAGGGGTTTGTTAATGATCTGAAGGCAGTTCGGACCACAGTCCCCAAGAACGCCATGTTTGGAGGAAGATAAATTCTGGGTATTACCCAAAGAACACAAACCACACAGTCAAGCATGGAGGTGGAAATATTGTGCTTTGGGGCTGTTTTTCTGCTACAGAATGACTTCTAATTGAGAAGCAAGTGGACAGCGGCCATGTACTGTAAAATCTTTGAAGACAACCTCCTTCCCTCAGCCAGAACACTGAAGATGGGTCATGAATGACATGAATGACAAGCAGCAGCCAGTAAACCTGAAGGATTTAGAGAGTTTCAGTAAAAAGGAGTGGGCCAAAAATCCCTCATAAGATGTGTGCAAACCTCCACTACAAAAACCATCTTACCGCTGTGCTTGCCAAGAACTAAGTCATATTTTGCTTGCATATAAAATAGTTATTTCACTCAATGACATGCAAATTGGTTCATCACTTTTATGTAATGTGTTTTTTCTGGACTTTTTGGTTGATATACTGGCTCTTTCTGTTAAAATAAAACTACTATAAAAATTAGAGACTTAATTTCTTTGGAATTGAACAAACTTACAAATTGATCACGGGATCAAATAATTATTTTCTCCACTGTGATTTCATAGCAGTAATTGTTTAACGGACGCATAGACACAAATACTTCCATACCTGGATGAGCACCACTTTCATCAGCCATATTCATTCCTTTTCCCCATCCTTAGTCAGAACCAAACTTTAAATCAATCCTTCCCTTGAATCCAAATCCCAAAGGCCAACCAAAGCTTGAAGGTGCCCAGAAAGCCAAGGTTGCATCACTTTGAGGAAAGCCACTGGTTTCTCAGGAATGCAGAAAACTCACACACACACACACACACACACACAGTCTATGTGTGCCATCTTTAATTATTTGGGCATGCTGATTGAGCCATATACTTCTAGAAACTGGCCTTTTTTGTTTGTGCATGTTTTTAGTACATTTGTACATTTTTACATTTGAAATTATTTGCAAAAGTATTTAAGTTACAGGCACAGAACGAGTAAGAGCTTGACCTGGGGACTCCCTGCCTTGGTTTAACAGTATTTTAGAGGACAGTTTTATACCAAAATTGAGGAATTACCCCTTTTTTAATTCAATAGA